TGTCAGCGGTGTGATTATCGGGTGTAACCGTCGCGAGATTAGCGGGACTACCACCCATAAGTAGAGGACCTCACTCCACGATCGGGTACGAGGATTTTCGGACCTCGAACTAAACTGAGAATCCGACCTATACTAACTTGATCGTCGGAATGCTCACCTTTTTGTGCAGGTCCGCCCAAGTATTCAGATCGGTCCGGAGTCCGAGTTCGAGCTGCAATCAGAAACACACGGTTGTGCATAACCTTGCATAAACAAAATTAAACTTAATTTCCATATAGGCACTGTATAAAACTAAAGGGAGACCTTTTTTTCTTTTTCTTTTGCCTCATTGTATAAAACTTTTTGTGTGTTGGCAATGGGATTGGGAATGGGCGGGGAAAAGTCATGTGGGATTCAGCTGCAAATTGATACTTGAAATCTTTTCTTTGTACTTTTTTGTTTAGATTTAAGAGTGATAAACAACGGTTGATGCTTCCTTTTTCCTAGGGCTCAATTTGACTAGTTCAACATAGCACGAAGGAAGTTGTGGATCTACGGCCTCCTACCACATTTAAAACACTTCTAATTTGGCCCACTATACTAAACTAAATAAACTTATAATATTAGCACAACTACACCTACCAACTTGGAATTAAAAATATTCTAACATTTTTATTTGGATCTCTTACTTTTGTAATTCTTAAACCTCACATAAAACCTCCAATCTTTTAATCAATTTTTAGTCAACAATTGAGCTAGTATTCTATATATATATATATATATATATCACATAAAAATTACATTAATAAAAAAGATGACCAACAAGAATTACGCAGAAAAATTGTGACCACGCACTGGATTCAGAATTGGCGAAAGAAGATAAGTTTTCCAAAAGATGGTTAAACGATCAAAAATGACAAGTTTGACCAATAAAACGACTTACATGTTCAAAGAACGAGAAATATGAATCAAATTCAGTCCACGAAATACATTTTTCAAAGTCACAACATCCTTCATTTTCTTATCGGAGATACTCCTCAATTAATAGAGTATGGAACAGATATTTGAAGTCCATATCTTTGGCCAAATCATATGAGTCTCATAATTGAGCATTTCGGTCTTCATTAATGGCTGAAGATTGATATCAAATATTTAAAAGATGGTGTGTAAAATTTGGCGGCTAAGCTGTGGATGGCCACATTCATTGAATGGTTTTAAAAGTCGGTTCCAATGTGAGAAGATTTCCTAAGATTTCTAAAGTTAATGTTTTTATAATTCTTAGCCCTTTTGACTTTGTTGCATTCTTGTCTCCCAAACCCAGCTTCACTCACGCGTGATATGCTTAGGGAATACGGACTAATTGCAACAAATTGCACCAACAGAAAAAAAAAAACAAAACAAAACAAATTATGACTTAATATGATGATCAAATTTATAATATTTAGCAAATACAATTTTAATGGGAAAAAAAACTTTTGGTTAAAATTCAAGGGTTGATGAAATTTTGAAGTTTGACCATCTATATTGTAGCTTTCAATTGTTATCATTTATCGTTTTTTGTTTCAATTCTTCATCGTTTCTCCTCGAAGCTTTCTTGAATTTTATTAATTTTCTAAAAAATCGATATAATAACGTTATTTCCTGTGGCACGCAATAGCTCAACATTTTCATCGACAACAAGGAATATTGGTTTTCTTGACATTTTATCTGACGGCACGCAGTACTTAATATATTAAAACAGCATATAAAAAAAAATACTTCATATCAATAATTTCATATTATTTACAATACTATAAGCTATCCATAAAATAGTCCTATTAAAGTATTATTTAACATTGTAAAGAAAACATATACTCAAAATACACTTTATATCAATAACTTCGAGTCATTCATAACACTATAAGTTGACTTTAACATTATACCAAAAATATACTCCATATGAGTAACTTTATATCATTCATAACAGTGTAAGTTGTCCACAAAACAATATCGATATTATTTAAACATATACCTAAAATATACTTGATATCATTAAATTCAGATCAAACATAACACCGCAAACTGCCTAGAATATTATTTAATATTACAAAGTATTTGTAGTATATACCTAAAATATATTCGATAAGATGGTAATCTGGCTAGAAAACAAAGAGAGAAGTGGTCGACAACAGTTGAGCCAGAACGACGTGTAGTTGATGAGGTCACCAGACTTGGAGTCTGCTTCGAGATCTAGAAAAAGCTCCCCATAATGTTTTCGTTGGAAAAAGTGAAAATATTTTTGTCCAACACTTTTGGGGACATTGTAAGATGGGATGCCAAAATGTACTCATCCCGATCTAAAATATAACTCAATTAGCAAAGTTCATGGGCTTATTATCTATCGGAGGCCCAGCCCAAGCCTAACTCCAAACAGTGTTTAGGCTTGTTGGACATAGGTCAAAGTCTAAGGCTGAGTCTTTTTGGGCCGAATCGAATTAGTCATCTCATGAGTTTGAACTTTTTTTTTTTTTTCTAAACACATAACCCAATTGATCTTAGTTCAAGTTGATATGATGAGTTTGAACTTGAATTATATTATAAACCATATTTTTATTAGTTACCGATGATTTACCGTATGGTATTACCAACAACATTTTGTTAAATGATTTCATTATATAATAATACTAATTAAAAAGACACACAATGGTAACATTTTAATATTTACATATTAGGAATATAATTTAATTAATGTTCACCTATAAAGTGTGTGTATATATATAAAAGTACAACATATAGAGTAGAGATAATTGGAGGAAAGTATTTGAGTTATGTTAAGTTAACAATATTCAATATATTAAGACAAAAATAACAATTAACAGCCAAAGCGAGCATAATTTAGCGATAATTGACATATATGTCTAAATAAAAAGTTGTGAGTTCGATCTCTCACCCCTACATGCTGTACTTTGAAAAAAAACATCAATTTCAGATAAATGTTAAGAAAAAGCTCATTATGTTAACGGAATAAGCATGGCATGCATTTAATATTTATTTTTAAAAAATGTCAACTTTATTTTTATAACATAAAATTAAGCTTTTAATTTAAGTGACTTTACCTCTCCCAAAATTGAAACAGAATTAAATTTGAACAAAAAACGTTGATGGTAGGAAGAAGAGGGATCAACAATTTCTTACACAAAAACAAAACTATGAACATCACCGAAATTCCACATATTGGAACCCAAGAAAGGCTTCTCCAAATTCAAATATTTTTTTGATTCTGATGAATAAAATGCCAAACATTCATCACCAGTACAAAAAAAAAATACCTTAGACCCTTTCTGGATCATCAAAATACTATTCATAGTTATATTTACAAGTTGGAAGAAAGGCCGAAATCGTCTCAATGCGCTAATACCGCTATCGAAAGCTCTCGAAGCTACACTGATGAACTCATAACATCAGATTCCAGCATCTCAAAAACTATAGAAATGGACTGAATCATTTTTGGAGTGGAGGCGCCTTCGGAGAGAAGAATACCTCAAGAATAGGCTGAGACAGCTTCAGGATGGTAGTAGAGCATCTCATTCAACATCAACTCTCTGATCTTTTGCTCCCCGAGTGTTTCGTCTATGTCGAGAGTGAGGGGCACCTGGACAGGAGGGATGAACTTCGGGTCGTACAGCCCCGACATGTATGGATGTTGAAGTGCTTCGACAACAGTAATTCTCTTTGTGGGATCGAACACAAGCATCTTCTGCAACAAGTCTATAGCTAAAGGATCAGCGTGTGGATACAGATGTGAAAGGTGTATTCCCCTTGTAAAGGGCAGCGACTTGATGTACTTTCTGGCCTTTACATTGTCGATGAACTCAATATCCGCTTCCTGTGGACTACCAAGGATGTTGATGATTAACTTGAGTTGGTTGAGGCACTCTGTCCCCGGGAAAATTGGTTTCCGACCCAGAATCTCAGCAAAGATGCATCCCACAGACCAGACGTCAATGGAGGTCCCATAGTTGTCACTGCATAGGAGAAGCTCTGGTGCGCGATACCAGCGAGTAACAACGTATTCAGTCATGAACTGGCCACTGCCTATGCCTGTTCGTGCCAACCCGAAATCACATATCTTCAGATCGCAATTAGCATTAACGAGGAGGTTCCCGGGCTTCAAGTCTCGGTGAAGAATGTTAGCTGAATGGAGATACTCCAAGCCGCAAAGCAACTGTAATATATAAAAAGAAATGTCTTAATCAGACCTCAGAGCTTAGTAAGGCATCACATTTAACACACACATATACATATAAATCAGCTTGATCTTAAACATCCATTTCATCGGACATGTTTCGAATCGAAACCGAAAGGGTAGAGCTACATCAAGCCTCAGAAATTCAGCTCAAGCGAGTGAAAGAAGATTATGAAGTTTTCATGAAAATCACTGAAACAAGTATGATATTCAAAAACAGTGTGTTAGTATAAGGAAAAGAAAACAAATCATTCACAAACATGCTTTTTCTTTTTCCTATTTCCAAGTTTATACTTCTTCAAAATGTCAATTGTCTGATAAAATACATAAACACCATATCTTGAATGAGCTTTTCTAATCAGTAAAAAGCAGAGTAAAATTGAGAAGAAAAACTAAGATGAAAAGAGAGAACCCAGAGAAGAGAAGACGAGTAATCCAAACCTGAAAGATAAAATACTTGCAATGGTCATTGGAGAGGGGCTGAGAGGATTTGATAATCTGATGAAGATCCGTATCCATGAGCTCGTAAACCAAATAAACATCCTTAAAGTTTTTTGTATGGATCGGCATCATCACATCCTTCAAAGCAATCACGTTATCGTGCCTTATGTGCCTGAGAAGCATCAGTTCCCTCAGCGTTCTCGTGGCGTCGATGCGATTCTCAAACACATTGTTGATCTTCTTGATCGCCACTTTCTCGTTCGTCTCTCGGTTGATCGAAGAACACACCACGCCGTACGCTCCTCTCCCGATCGGCTTGATCGGAACGTACTTCGTATCGATTTCAAACAGAGTCTGCCACATTGTGAAATAATGCTTCCCCATTTCCCTGATTCCGCTCGGTCCCTCCACGAATGTGGCCATATTCCTTCAAATCCCACAGATACGTAATTGATCAATCGCTAATTCCGCAACACACACATTAATCACAACGACGCGAAAAGGGGTTTTTAAAAAATCCGCTGAAGTAAGAAAACGGAGTAAAAATCGGGGAAAATTTATAACAAAATAGGAGAAATTGCAGAAGAGAAAAGGGTTTCAGAACTGATCCTTACTTGTTGCCGCAATTCTTCAGCCTTCAGAAAAGAGAAATTCTCTCAACGACGATCTCTTCCCAATTCCGTGCACGTTTTGGAGATCACCCACCGATCATCCAAATGTCAAGGCTCGTGGCTTTCGTCAGAAAGGGGGTCTTGATGAAGCAACGAAATTCGGGGAAAATTGATCGACCCAGAAAAAGAAAAAGCTCACCCACCACCAGAAAGGGGCAAAGAAAGCGAAAGAAAGCGCTGAGAATCTCAGTGGGAGAAGAGAAGCATTGGGGTTTGAGAAACAGAAGAATCAATCAATCAATCAGAAGAAATTTGAAGTTGAGGAAGATGAGAGAGAGGAGAAAAGGGAAAAAAGTTGGAAGAATGGGGGAGGGAAATTGATGGCTACGAAGCCCACGCGGGCTTTATACACTACACGCCCCACTCTGGCGCGCACTCCGTCTCACACTTCTACAAGGAAAGTTTTTACCTTTTCCAGTTTGAAGTAGGAAAAGGAAAGTTTTTTAATTAACTGAGTTTTGATGATCACGTTTGATTAATTCTTACATTTCGAATGTTTGCATTACAATATTTTTTTTCCTTTTTAATTCTTGAAGTTAACCTACATAAATTTGAAAAAAGAAATATATTGATTTCCTTCGTTATTAGTGTTAGGTCAGCTGTATTTAGAAATAAAATGTTTTATTATTATTAATTAATATTAGAAAAATATTTGTATGTTTATCGATAAATATTTATCTTGTGCCAACTGCTATTAAGTTCTCGATGAATAGAAAAGAGAAATAAATAAAGTGAGGCTTTTTCTTCTATATTTCAAAATAATAAGAAGTTGTCAAAATTTTAGTAGTGATCAGGAGAAAGATGGTACTCAAATATTGTTCTTGATATTATTGACTAAAAAAATGATGGGAAAAATGGGAATTTGAAAAATAAAATACTTAGGTTGTGATTGATGACAGATGAGAATCTATCTCTTCTCACTACCATTAAAAAATTGAAAAATTGATAATTTTTTAAAATATTCTTTGTTTTTTTAAGTATAAAATATGATCAAAGTATTTTTATTTGAACCAAATAGGTTCATGCAGCCCATAAAATAGATCTACTTTCAAAATGAGATACGTTACACGTGCTACTTTATTCTATTCATTTGRGTTACTAGATTTTTGTTTTCTATTTTTAAAATTAAACCTATCCAACGCAACTTCCATTTTATATATCTACATTTTAAAAACAAGCTCAAAATATAAGCCCTTTAAAGCTAAAAAAATTAGCTTTTAAATTTTGTTTTCGGTGTTAAAATTTGGGTAAGGATTTAAACGTGTTGATAATAAAATTAAAAAACAAATCAAATAAATTATTAAAAAACACAATTTAAAAAATAAAAGAAGTAAAAAAAGAATAATGGGACCTAAATAATAAAGGCTCAGTTCATCAGGCTGAATGAGAGTAGTTTAGAGTATGGAGTTAGGCTGAAGTTGCCAAAAATTTAGTTAAGTTAAAGCTTAATGATAATTGGAGCAAGAAGGCCACAAAAGGAAAGTTTGTTTAAGCTTTTTAATGATTTAATGAAGCTTCAAGTAATTGCCCTTTTACAAGCAATCCTTTCATTCATTGATTCCAAATACTAAAATCTTCCGTATCTTCAAAGGAACCCATTATTCACCTTTTTCTTCTTTTTCTTATCCACAAACCCTTTCTTAATTTCTCCTCTTTTCCATTTTTCTAATTTCTCCTTCTATTTTTACCTAATTCCTTTTTCGTACCAATAACTTACCCAAACTAAAAAAAACCAGGTTCGCTGTTTGTTGATATAACAATAAATGTGGAATATAGAGATTTGAATGTCGAATATTGAGAGAATAGCTTATATATTTTTAGGATCGAGTTATGTTCATGTCGACAATATAAAAACTAAATTTGGATGATGTTTTCACAATATCTATAACTATTTATTGTTTTGATTTTATTTTTGAGTTGTAATTATGTTGATTGCTGGAAAAGTATGAACTTCTTATCTTACAAGAAACTCTTACATCATCAAGAATATTTCACAGTAACCATAATACTTATTTTTACTGTAGATGAAGCATTCTGCGCCATAAACTATTTGAAGTATACATTTTTTTTAATACATACGTTCTCATTTGGGTATAGAAGTTCGGTCATTTGTTGTAAACCATTATCAGGAAAGGGAAAAAAAAAACTAAATGACAATAGTTGATACTATTTTGAGTAATTCTCAATTTAGTGTTTCAGTATTTTAAAACTTTCCATGATAATGTATTGAAAATTCTAAATTAGGTTCTTAAAATATGTTAAGAGAAAGTTTGCGTCTCACTCAATTTATTAACATATTTAGATATGTATGCATGCCATATAAACATATTATTTAGAACATCTATGGATTTTAAAGGTAGACGAGTTGAATTTATGTGTCCAATAATATCCGCTATGTTCATATGTTCAAACATACTAATAAAACAAGGATTTTTTATTAATGTACTTTTTTTACAAAAGTGCTTAATTGAAAATTTAAACTAAATTAAGGACCAAATTAGTATTTGCCTAAAAGAATTAGTGATTATTGGGTGTATCTTGAGAAAAGAAAAAAAAAGTTTATTGGTCATTCTAATTTTGACTTTGATTCATTTTGGTCAATTACTTTCTATTTGTTTTAGTCATTATACTTTCACAATATTTTTATTTTGGTCATTGTAAGATAAAAATAAAAATGAAATAATCAAATAGTCCATTTTTAAAAATACAAAAACTAAAATATTAAAAGCGACCCAAATCAATTAAAATATACGAAAATAGTATTTAAAACAAAATAGAGAATATTATTGGAATTGCTTGGGTAAATACCCACCATAATGTTAATGGAAGTTGAAAATGATTTCCAATTATTTGGCAGAAACACGGATTGCGATGGACATTTTTTGCTAACAAACTTACCATCACTAATTTTAATGATGGCACTTTTTTTTTCACTCTTTTTCCGGTAAAGACCAAATTGAAATTTGAAAGGGAAAGTATGTGGGTCCCATCGTCCACGTGTAAAGAAAATTTCAAAAATATTCCACGAATGAAAAAATTAAAAAAGGTGTTTTTATAGCTACCCATAATTAATGTCATTTGCTATTATATTCATCATATCCATTTTGACGAGAGAGTTGAAAAGAACTCACTCGTCATTATCAATTTCTATGGCTGACGTGTCGTTATCTGATTCGACCTCCTGGCCTCCGGTGGCGTTTTGCGCATCATGTACTTTCTGGAGAGTGCATGAATCAATTTATTTCTACATATATTATGTGGATTTTTGGTTTTGCTTTTTGTAATAAATTAATTTGACCACGTGGCTTGTGATTGTATTTTTTCTTTTTAAAAGTTAAACACATTTGATAATATTCAGATATTCTTTTGTTTTGAAAATAGTTATAATATTAAGAGTGTTAGTATTAACCAGCCGTATTAAAAATTATGAAGTTTGTTAGTAATAACACGTGTCACAGTACAGAACGCTTTTTCTTAATCGAGTTTAACGAGTTATTCATATGAATTAATAATGTTGTGATGTTTCATAAGACAACCACTCTTATGTAGCGAAAGCGAAATTAGACATTAGATAATTTTTCATGAAATCGGAAACATGAGTCCAAACATGAACTTTGTCAAAATTTAACCACAATATAAACTTTAAAACACACAAAATTTAAATAAATAAATTAATATGGTCTCAACCGGTTATCTCTCGTTCTCCCTTTCTAAAAATTAAACCCACACATAAAAACTACTTATCTCATTTGTAATGGACTAAAGTCCCACATTGAGTAGATGGAAAGAATGATTATGTGTATATAAGTCAGCGATATCATTTTATTAATACGACAAGTCTTTTGAGTATTCAAAAGGGATTAATGTCAAATTGGACAGTATTTCAAACTATTATAAAAATGTGGAGACTACTTCAAGCTAAATGTAACGCCCCAGGCCCAAGAAGATTGGTAGCGACTATCCCGATTTTCAATTTTATAACATTTTCTAATCATACTTTTCATGTCAGTAAAGAATGTGAAAATTGGCCTATGATAAGTTTGAGCATGGCATGATCATGTGTAAGCAAGCATAAATTTTAAGAAACAAAAGCGTAATTGATCATACGGGTTTGGTCTCGAAGTGATTGTGAAGAGAGATAGCAAGAGTGATGTCATGAATAATTGATCCACATTTTTGTGATGGCTACGCCAAAAGCAAACCAAAAAGTAAAAGAAAGGTGACAGAAAATGAAATAGTAAAAAAAGGGAGGTGAATTAGGCAGAGGCAGAGGCAGAGGCAGAGGCTAGAGTCGAATCCAAGTCACAAAATGGAGAGATTTTGGGGAATCAGATTCTGTTGGCTTTGCTTACACCGCAATGCATGCAATGTATAGTAAAATGGATATATATATATATAATTTTGAGCCCAAAAACAACAAAATTCTTGTCTTTTGTATTTTTGGTGCGCCAAAGCAAAAGCAAAAGCAGGCCTCTAATTCCCTCTCAACGTGCCCACAGGTGGCCTCTTTGCCGCCTCCTCCTGCTTTGAATATTTCTTACCTTCTAATCACTCATATACATTATACACTACACCTCCACACAAAACCAAAAACTGTTAACCTTGTCCAAAATATTATTCTTTTTTTTTTCGATTTTCGTGAGTGTTCGGCCCAACTTGCACACACTTAGACTAATCTCATAGGTGGTCATCATGGATTTGAATACATTCTCTCTAAATCCTTTTGATTTAATTAGCTTAGTTGGTTCGTTTGAACAAATGAGGCACTTATGACGGTTAACATTATACTCTTCTTGGATTTTGTAAAGATTAAATTACAAATTTAGTTAACTGAATTTTTGGAGTTTTATCTAATTGATTCTTTGAAATTAAAGAAAAAAGTATTTGATATATGTTCTTGAACTTTTAATTTTGGGTCGAATAGATTTTTGATCTTTTGAACATTTTTAGAATTTAGAGACTTATTGGAGTATAAAATTGAAAGCTCAGGAACTCTTGGATAGTAATATTTTTTAAAGTATAAAAGATTTATTGAAACCTTAGAAGCTTATTAGATACTTTTTAAAGTTCAAAGAACAATTAAATAAAAACTTGAAAGATTTTGTAACTTAAATATATTCTTAATGGTTGATACACATGATAATTTAAGTTAAATGGCATATCAAAGCTAAGTATATAGAGCTTGTTAAGACGGGGTAATATTGAATCTATATATATTTAAAAAATGATAAAGTTTAACTGGAAATTTACTCACTCAACTTTAATAGTTGTATAAATTTAATTTGATTTTCCAAACTAAAAAGTACCATGTACGTCTTGAACTTTTGAGTTTGATTCTAACAAGTCTAAATGATTAATATATCTAAATATTTATATGCATGTTGATTGAATTAATAAGTGGCGATTTTGCGACACAATGAAGAAGTAGGTAAGTTCGAATAAACTAGGGGTAGATGGGTGAGAAATTTGATGGTGGGAATTTTTAATTTGTTGTTATTATACATTATTGATTAATAATTGATTAACTCAATTTAGATAAAACATTGACTACTTTTTCAATTATTGTAATTCTTGAAATTACTATATCTACAAATGCTCCTATAATAATGTTTTTTTTTCCTCCGTTGATTATATGGCCTAACCCTAACCCTAACCCTAATAGCCCCTGCCCACTTGCCCTTTTTTTTTCCCTTTAAAAAAGAAATTAAAAATTTTCATTGCTATTTTCCTCTGGTCAGCTTTTGTACCATTTTATTCCTTCGTGTGGTAAAGACAATGGATTGATTTTGATTTGGTCGATTTCAATTCCTTTGATTTGTCACTTTCCCGTCAGCCTAAATTCATGGAATTGGGAATGGGGGAATCCATTGCACTTGAATTTTAAGCCACCGCCAATAACTACCTTTTTTCTTTCCTACGAAACTTATGATTAATAATGCAAATATAACCGATGGTCTTGAACATAGGTTATCAGATTAGGTATTAATATTGTTAGGGCAGAAAATTATCTTTTGTACGTGGAAGACAGAGAAAGCTGCAAGTGTCGGATTAGGTCTTACCTAAGAACTATCTCGTACATATTCGACTAGTCATACTCAACCACAAAACGCAATGGAGATGTCTACTAGTAGCCTGAACATCATTCAAATTTGATCTTAGGCATCCGACATATCCAACCTTTGAACTGACACATATAATTAACTGTCTGTCGTACCCCAGCGTATAAATAGGAGAGCCACACCTTCACATATCGTATTCTATTTCGAACTCTCTATTAAGTTCGAGTTTAAACTCAATTAAACGTCGGAGTATTTGCATATTTTGTGCAGGTCATTCCTCATTTGTACGTTCAAACAATATATTACACCTGTCTAGATTTGACCGAGACTTAATTTTATTACATAAACAAATATCTTTAGTATACATTAAAAATAAAACATAAGTACTTTTCTTTAATTTTTTCCTCAGATTTTCTTTTTATCATTGTAGTTGACTCAATAATTAAGCTTATTGAAGTCTAATGTCTCAACTTTGATTAGTAGTCAAATTAATAGCCTCAATTGTGAATAGCTAAAATAGTTTTTTTTGATTGGCAAGAGTACTTTTTGGGTATTAATTTTTGCTTTTTTAAATTAGTTTTGACATTTTATTGCTGAGTTTTTTTACATGTTTATTATTATTATTATTATTATTATTATTTTGTTAATTTTGTGTAGTTTCCATGATTAAGTTTAAACACATTTCTATATAATTAATTTGAATTTTGAGTATTTTTTGTTGGGTTGAATTTTGGGTATATATATATTGGAATGTCAAAAACTAAACATGGAGTCCTACACTTATACTTTTTCAGCTGGCCCTAAACTCAAGATGTGAGTGAGGCCCATTAACACATACCCAAAAACCAATTTAGACCAAATTCAACTAGTTCCATTCCATTCTAATTTATTCTAACCAAAAAAACAAAAAAAAAAAACAAAAGAAAAAAAAAGAAAGACAGCGAAAAGCCTCTTGAAGGGTGGTCGCCTAAGAGCCTACTTGAGGAGCGCCCTCTTGAGTGGTGCCGACCTGATCCTCTTCGAGGTCGGAGTAGTCAGAGTCCAGATCTCTGACGTAGTTATCCACCAACGCTTGGGGGCCAGGGGTGCCACTAGGCCCAGACGCCCACTGCTCAGCATACTTCTTCTTCAGAGCACCGAGATCAATCTGAAGGTCAGGCATGTCGGAAGCAATGCCCTTCATGAGAAACTTGAAGCCCGCGTCAGAGAAGTCTTTGGCAAATCCATCGAAGTCAGGATGTTGCCTAAACGATTCCTCCAATAGGGCTCCATTGCTGAGACGCTCCTTCACCGTCTCCAGCTCGGCAGTCGCACGCTTCAGCTCCTCCTCCTTCGCTTCAAGCGCCTGGAGCATGTCGTCCTTCTCCTTGAGGAGTTGGAACTTCTCCTTCTCCAAGCCCCTGGTGATAGCATGGGCAGCTCGGAG